AAAAAAAAAAAATTAAAAAAAAAAAAAGAAAATCCTGTTTGTCCTGAAGGTACTTTGCAAACTTCAGTAATATTTTATTACTTAACTTATAATTTATAAGTTGCCTTCTTCAAAATATGATGCAAAGTGGCTTACTGGCCATATTTCATTTCCAGATGCAATTACAGAATTAGCAAGAAGTGGCATGTGGAAGTCTCCACTGCCCTGACTGGGGGGAAAAGGCGGCGGGGGGGCGCTCAGACGGCAGGCTTCCCTTACCCTGTCACCTCTATCCCTTTGGCTTTCAGCACTTGTGCCAGCCCGGAAAGAAGTCATTGCAGACACACCATGCTCAGATAAAGGTTGAAATCTGCTACAGCTCTAGTTACTGGAGAATTTGACTCCCTATTGTCTAGCACCTAGCCCAAATTAAAAAATAGACTTTAGTAACTTTCATCCATTTTATCAAGCAGATTGAAACAAAATCAGTATCAAATCCAAGAAGTTGATGACATTCACCTTACTGCATATAACTAGAAGGACGGTTGCTGATGGATCCTATATACATTAGGGCCAATGTCAAATGTACTGTCCTTGCCCCCTTTAAATTCAGGGAAGCAGATGGGACCAGAGAGGTTGCATGTGTTTCCCAGTTATACCGAATCCTCAGGGGATTTGTTCTCCCTCTGGGGAAAGGAAAAAAGAAACAGACTAACATGAATGTCTCAGAACTTCAAAAGAACTTTCATTTGAGATGGTTTCTAAATATACGGAACAGCTCTATTCTGATTCTCTTTCCTGCGAACTATAAAATAAATGATGAGGATTTCTGGTGGCAAATAAGCAGAGGGTGACTCCTTTGGGGCAAGGGCTCCCTTGTGCCCTGGTGCCTTTGCTCTTTCTTTCCTGTCTGGAATGCTCTGACCACTATGCCTCACTTCCGGCAAAGCCCTACTCATTCTGCATGAGCTGGCTCACATGTCACTTCTGTGAAATGTCACCCCCTTCTCTCTTTTCCTTCCCATTAGAATTAATCACTCCCTGTAAACTGGTATAACCTTTCAGGAAGGCAATTGGCAATATGTGTCAAAAACTTTAAAAATATTCTCTTCTAATAACCTTTACTTGGAAATAAATTGAAATGAACACACACGTAATTTTCACTACATTATTTATAATGCTGCAAAATTTGAAACCATAAATGTCCAACAACAGGGGAAGACTGGTTAATGATTGTCACATATCTTTATGTTGAGGTTTCCATGGAAGAGGCAGAGCAATATTAGAACTGACCAATATTTTATTAGTCATTACAGTTTCCTCACCAGTCAAATGGAAATTATCTAAGAATAACAATCTGCATGCTAGGTATATAGTATTCACTCAAAACATGGTAGCTACTACTGTCACCGTTAATATGCCACCATTAATACGAGGTATGCAAAATATTGGTAATGTTATGACAAACTGCTTGTGATATAGTGTTACTGAAAAAACTGTATAAAATATCTATGTATTTCCATTCAAACAGTCATAAAGGAGGAAATGAAACTAGGGAGCTTGGAAGAAATGATGGGGGTATAAGTTATGAAAGTAGTTTGTTACTTTGTATTTTTTTAAACAACAAGCATATATTTGTGCATGTTTTTAAAAATTAAACAAAAATAAATAAAAAAATCTTAAAAAAAAAAAAAAAAAGGGGCGCCTGGGTGGCTCAGTCGGTTAAGCCTCTGCCTTCGGCTCAGGTCATGATCCCAGGGTCCTGGGATCGAGCCCTGCATCGGGCTCCCTGCTCAGCAGGAAGCCTGCTTCTCCCTTTCCCACTCCCCCTGCTTGTGTTCCCTCTCTCGCTGTATTTCTCTCTGTCAAATAAATAAATAAAATCTTTAAAAAAAAAAATCCTGCATGATGAAAGATACCATAAGATGGGTTAACACTGTGGATTATATATAATATGCATAATAGGTAAAGAACTCCTACAAATCATTACGGAAATACAGATCTTAGTAGGAAAAAAAAGTCAACAGAACTCTTTTGTCTGACTCTACTTAACTGACCTGCAGGATTACCTACATTCTCTTTATTCCCTCTGTGAACCTTATGGATTCCCTGAGTACTATCAAAGCTGGTAGGTTACTCTGTGTTGGGCTTTGCACTCCCATCTCTACTAGATGAGTCACATGTTTTCCAAGGATAACTTAGGTGTGTTTCCCAATGTATTTAGGCCAACTATACTTGTTACTGTAATCATGTAATTTATTTACCTGTCCTAAATATGAAAGAAATATAAATGTGAAAAGAGTTCTGTCTCTCTGAAAACCAATCTGCATGCTTTGGAAAGACTAGATAAAGGTAAACAGCTCTATAA